GCGTTTTACTCCCATTCTATCGCGATATTTCATTTTCCTATCGTTGCCTAACATTATACCGGTATTACCGTGAACGGTATAATATGGCCCAGCCCTACTCCGGTGTCCTGTTATATTTTAGACAGCAAGGAGCAGACGGCTGAGTTTATTAAACTTCACCGAAACAATCTGCAAATTTCATTAAAAGTTTAATAAACTGTCATCTTGTGTTAATTTTTTGTTAGCACATACCTTAACTATCCTTTCAGCTTGTTCATGGCCAAAGATGTCCACCAACAGATTAGGTCTGTAATGTTTATTATTTTTATGGGTTTTTTTATGCCTTTTGCCATTTTTTCTGCATAAAGCTTTTAACTAACTTCATTTCTTTTCATAAATATAAAATAGTTCTTACTTTTGGAATTTTTAACCCTTTAAACACCAGTTTGTTTGTCCACTGCACTAGCTGGAAGACAACCTCAAATCTCACAATTTTATATATTTGCATTGCTACTGAAATTTCTTGTATTATTAATAGTAGAGTCTGGGAAATGTTATTGATTCACGTCAACACTGATTAAAATGCATTGTTATTTTTGTGCAGGGAGAGTAAAAATGAACATCTCAGCTTGTTCGTGGCCATTTAGCCAAGAGGAACAATTTGGTGTATAGTGTATATTATTGACATTATTAAGGAGCTGATGTTGAAAAAAATATAAACCTCTGGGAAGTTTAAGTCCATTTGCATTAACAGAATGAAAATCGTTGACAAAAGAAAAGTGAAGTGGCCACAAATGGCCAGGATAGAGCCCAGAGGGTTAAACACTTCAAGCTGTAAGCTAATGATAGTTATATAAGAGCAGATGCTGGTGCAATAAGCTCTACGTTTTATGTCTAATGGATGCATGATCTGATTAGTCGACTAATCGCAAAAGTAATCAGTAACTAGTCAACTATCAAAATAATCGTTTGTGGCAGCCCTACTTACAATTTGATTCAAGTTATAAAGAGGTTGGTTTAATAGTGATGTCCATCCATTCATCCATTCGCTTCTGCTTATCGTTTTCAGGGTCGCGGGGGGCGCTGGAGCCTATCCCAGCTGTCATAGGGCGAGAGAGAGAGATGAATAATAAAAGTAAGGGACATTATTCTGCTCTTACATACAAATTAAAATACCACTGCTATGGCTTACCAGGGGGTGGATGGGCTAATAAGGGAAGAGCGATCCAAGAGAATCACCTCAAGTCACACTTGGATCTGAGCTTTACACACACTCCCACTAAGGTGCAGTTTAAAACACACTGAAGAGGAGATCAAACAACCAGGGCCCATCCACACTCAGTTTCTGAATGGAAAACACAAAAGATATGATTTAAATCACCAAAAAAGAATAACAACTGAACTCTTACTGCATCAAATTCATCTGCTGAAACAGGCCGATGACCAGTGGCTCTAAAGAGTCTACTGTAAGTGATGTAATAAAAGTCAAAAGAAATTTACTAGTTAGTTATTCACAAGCAAAATGTACACAAAACAATAAAATAAGAACCAGTTTAAAATAAACAAAACCAAACTATGTGATTTGGTTTTGTTTATTTTGCAATTTACCTTAAAGAAACGGAAAACATTATGACACGATGACCTGGGTGACTGAGAACCTTTACAGACACTATGAGCAGTGTTGCACACATACATGCAGCTCAGATTGTTTTTGAAGTGCCTCTAAATGCAGTCAAGCTTTTTAGAGTCCCTAAGCGAGAAGTATGCAACGAAAAAAAACAGGGTAGAAACAATGCAATATAAGGAAAAGCGCTAAATAAAAGGATAGCTCATTATCGGCTTAAGGCAAAGCCTCCGAGGACATTCACAGGTCACATTTACGTTAGCCATGCAAACTGGGTTTGCACTCCCGTGCAGCCAGGCTACTCAGGCTGTTTATGTTAGTAACTACATAAACTGTAATCTACTACCAACAGTCAAGATCTTAAATCAAAATAACACCGCGATATTCAAAACAGACACAGAATATTCAGCGTGATACTCGAAAAATAATAACTAAAATGTTAGTCTACCACAGGTGGGTCTAATAATCTGACCAATTTCTCCTTTTTTCTACATACACTAAAGTGAGTCTGTGTCCTTTGAGGACACGAAGGAGAAAATGGCGACCAAACTTAACTTTCCGTTTCATTCTGACGAAAGGTTCTGTTGCTCTAAGCTTGGCTAATTTCAGCTCTGATATCAATAACGTGACAGCATGAATATTTTTTAATTAACGTTTGTGCGTTTTAATGTAGCTGTAGCTGAGTTTAAAACAACTGACACTTTCTGCACCGACGGATGTATTTTTTTTTCTGATATGAAGAAGAATCGAAAACGTTTTCAAAGTTTCAAACCCTTTTAAAGTTTTCGAATACATGTACTAAGTTTAACAACATCGATTTCAAACGTTTTTATGGTGTAACATTACGCTACAAAAAAGGTCACCGACGGTATGTGCATGCAGGCGTCTTCAGATGTGCGCTGATTACTTACTGCGTATCTGCAGGTCGGAAACAGAAGAAACTCGGAGTCAGCAAAAAGACAGACAAACTCTGAAACTGCTTTCCGATTTTCTCCACTTTACTCCACAAGAAGTCCAAAATATTGAACTTTACGGAAAAGACAAACAAATGTCGACTATTCTTACGACAACGGAAGCTCTCGCCGCTCACGCCCTGTAGCTACGTCACGATGGGGTTTTTTTTTAATTCCCTTCTGGACGACTGTAGTCTGAAACTCACTGAAACAGATGATGAACGCAATGAAAAACGACCGATCGTACCGTTTAAATATTTTTCATAACCTATTAAAAATTTACAACAACCGACCTTAGTGTTCTCCTTCAGGTCGATTAGCTTAGAACTTTGTTTTATCGCTTCTCTTTGAACAAGATAGAAATTTAGGAGTAACATGACCTTACAAACCCAACAGCGACATCTTAAGAGATCCACAGCTTATGGCTCTTCAATGGGGTGTCACAGGGTCCACAGGAAAAAAAAATTGTAAATGTAAAATAATAAAATAAATATTCTTCTGTAGCAAAAACAAAGTATAACATAAATTAATCTGTAGCAATTACACAAGAATATCCAGTATTTTTACCTTTAGAAGATAAATTATTGAAATTAAATAATGATTTTCAGCGAGTTTAGTTATTTTACAATGTAACGCAAGGAAGGAGCGCTTTTGCAGACCGTTCATCCCAACAGCAGTTAGACTCTATAACTCCTCAATCACGATGTCATAAGTCACTGGACACTGAGAACATCCACGGTCACCACTTCATGCATAATGGACCTTCTATGTGTATGGACGTGTCCAGGTATAATCGTATGTATATGTATACATATGTATCTTTAGTGTGTACATGTGTGTGTACATGCCTATACATGGGAATAGTAGTGGTACAATAGTTATTTTAAGCTATATAGTTTATGTCTTGCATATTTCCACAACCATATCCATGATCACATGCTGTGTATGCTACCGTTGTATATAGTGTATTATCTTACTTATTTTCATTGTTTGTACTTATTTGTATTTTTTGTGTTTTTCCTTCTGATATCTGTACCTGAGCTGAGGTAACGCAAAAATGTCCCTGTCGTGGGATCAATAAAGTCTTATCTTATCTTATCTTAGAAGCAAGAATCTGACTGGTTTTAGAATGTAGTTCAAGAGGTGCTATGATCACGGCCTCAGTCGTGTTCATGTTTAAAACAAGGTCATTGCTAGAGAGCCAATCAGAAACCTGAGTTGAGCACTGGATTAGGGTGGACAACCTATCCAGCTTTCTTCCGGCCTAAAGGAAGAATGGTCACTAAAAGACTGAACAATGCCAGCTAAAGGAAAATTTTAGTGGACCCAAAACTGAACCTTGTGGGACCCCGTAGTCTAGGGGGGCAATGTCAGAGGAGAACCTGTCTGTCCTAACAGAGAAGGTCCTATCTGAAAGGTAGGAAGACTACCTGTCTAAGGCAGAGCCAGATGTACCAGCCAAATCGATCAATCAAAGCTTTATTCGTCACATGCAGGTTGCCCTGCAGTGAAATGGGACACCCCCCCCCCGACCTTACACATATAGCACAAACATTACATGGGGATACAGTTCGGAGATTGGTAGAATCAGAGAAAAACATTGAAATGTACACTATAATGGGGAAAGTACAAGAGGAAAAAAGAGAGACCCCTACTCATGCTATGCTTCCATGGTAGGACAGCATGAGAACAGGAAACAAAAAAACTCCTCTGCACAAAAAAGCACATAAATGTCCACAGCACAACATTGTGAAGACATGACAAGCCACAGGGGTGGGTGGGGGGTGAGGAGTAATCCGAAGCGAACACAGCAGCCACCGTGCACAGCGCTACCATTCCAGCGCGGCACACAGACCCGCCATGTTCCCTCGCAGGAAACAAGCATCGAAGGCGTTGGAAAGGGAGGGGGGATGAGTGAGTGTCTATCAGTGTAAGTGTATGTGTGTGCGTGTCCATAGTTCAGCTGAGACAGTGTCCTTCGGCCTATCAGGCTAAGTAAACAGTCCTCCAGCCAATCCAGGTGTCCTTGCATGGGATGGGAAGAATAGCCGTAACACAGTCGTTATCAGGGAGTGATTGTTCGGCTCCAGCCTTGGGCCTGCAGCTGGCGCCGTGATGGGGATCCGCAATGTTCATGTTGATTTTGTTGCGAGCAGCCTAGGAGAATTTTCAGGCTGCTCTTTAACACTCCGACGCTGGTCTCTCAATCTCCCGTTGGAGAGTCGCGAGCCTCCCCATGATGGTATCAAACTTCTGTTCCGTGGTGTTGTCATTCTTTTGATTCTGAGACCTCACAACTGCAGTGATCCGTTCCGCGATGTCTTCCAACTGTCGCTCAAGGGTCTCATTGTCATGGCGGGGTGCGCCGATGTGTGTGGAAACAGGACCCAAAAGCAGATGATGACGAGGAATTGTAATGATTAACAGAAAAGTGAACCTTTATTGCGATGACGGCAGGGAAAGAACCAAGAGACCAAAGCAAACAGGCAAAACACTAAGAAACAAAACACTAAACTGGCAAAACACTAAGAAAACAAAACACTAAAGGTACTAAGACCAAAAAACTATAACTATGACTGAGGTGAGATTAAACAGACGAAAACTAGAACTATGACTGTGGTGATGTAAACAGACGAACCGACAATGGCATGAAGAAAACAAAAGGCTTAAATACAGACATGAGGTGATCAGGGGAAGTGGCGACACATGGGGGAAAACAGCTGACAGACATAAACCTAATGACAGGACCAGGAGAGGAAAGCTAAATATAATGAACAAAGAACACATGACATTGTCAGAATAAAACAGGAAATGACAACACAACTTAACAGACCTAATACGTGATGAAATAAATAGAAAACCCCAAAAACATAGAAAACCCAGGAACAATAACTGCCTAAACTAAAGGCAAATAGGAAATAACACAAACTAATAACATATCAAAAAATACAAAGAAAACTCAGAGTGCTGGGTCGGAGACCCAGCCTGTGACACTCATTTTGAGCAGGCCTCTCTCTGATGTATCCCCCCAGTGATGTCCTATGTAATGTGACACAAATAACACATTACATAGGATTTTGTGGTCAATGGTATCAAAAGTTGTGCTGAGATCAAGCAAAAAGCTTTTAGAACAATTCTCTGCATCAGAAGCCATTAAAAGATCTTTATAGACCCTGAAGAGAGCGGTCTCAGTGGAGTGCTGCTTTGAATGCCAGACTGAAAAGGGTCAAAAATCTCCATAGTATCCAATCAATGTGGGACCAATGCTGTGAGAGTCCCAGACAGGAAAGAGGGACGTAATATATCGAAGGAACATGACATGGATTTCATTTTACCTGTTACTGTAATTAAGTCTTTTGGTGTGACTGAAAAAGAAGTAAGTGACCCAGGGCACTGAGGACCATCTTCAGAAGGGGATCCACTTGAGGAGATTTTGGATCTCAAGTCCATCACCTCAGTTACAAAGTGACTGAGAAAAGTATTACAGTCTTCATCAGAAAGCAAAACAGCATTCTGAGTTGGAGGAGAAATGATACTGTTGACATTGATAGAGATTATTGAAGTAAGAGGATCTAACCTCTTTCACTGACTCATTATATAAGTGAACAAGCTCTTTGATGTGTTCACAGTGGACAATTAGACCGGTGGACTTCCACAGATGATCTTCTTTTCAACAGGAACATCGAAGACCACCAGTTTGAATCCTTAACCAGCGTGTGCGGTAACTGACAGAGCAATGCCCAGTTTTAAAAGGAGCAACCTGGTTGGGAACAGCAAGGCAGTGTTAATTTAAAGAGTTAATAAGGAGCTCAACATCGTCAGAAGAAGTAGGTGGCAGTGTGAGACCATGGTTTGGCCTGTTGTTAGCAGTTAGAAGCAAATGCTCCACACTGTTAGTGTCATGTCTCAAATAGAAAATGAAAGGGGTAAAGCCTGACACACAACATTGTTTTGGTGTTGTAAATGAGTTTGTTGTAAATGTGTTTATGACTTTAGCAGCATGCTACTGGTAGCATGCTTGTTCAGAAGGGTTAAAGAAATCTGAGCTGGCAGCAATCACTTCAGAGTGTCGGGTCAGGACACTTGCAAATGTTCAGATGTGAGAGGAACAAACAGGCAGAGTCCAGGAATAAAGTTGTCATTCTTTGTATTTTCAATTGAGAATGTGCCCGCAGCTGGGCGAGATAGAGT